CCCCCCCATCAGCAGGCATTTTGCAGTGTAATCGAATCAGAGTAAGTGGTAGTGTTAAAAAAAATGGTACTGAAAGAAGTTCAATCCCCCTCACATGAAATAAGATTTCATGTTTGGACCCTCCTCTTCACTTTTAATTTGCTTCCGACATGAATGTAACAAATTAAAGATTCACCAGTATTTTGTTATGATCCTAGAGTTTTATCTCCTTTTTAAACACTTGATTTTCATGACAATAAGCTCTAGGGTCATAACAAAATTGAACTTCTTTCAGTACCATTTATTCTTTCTTTCTTCAGCCACAGCCTCCTAGGGAAAATTTTCTGGATCCACCTAACAAAAAAATTTCAATCGGGCTTGGGCTGTCGACCTGAGTTTAATCGATAATGCTTAACTGATAAAGAAAATCGCTGTCATTTGAGTGTTTTAATGCAGGGAGAACAAATTTTTGTGATATATGTATTGGAATGATCTGGACGCGCTGGCGCGCCGAATACAATTAGCCATGTCACTTACAGCTAGTGAAAGTTTGACTGCAAATTCCATATCCCTAATTTGAGAAAAACGAATCATTCTTTATTTTCCTGATTATTTATAAATATGTGTTACTATAGGTAGAAATGTAAAAATACCCTTAAACATTATTCTTATACACTTTAGCTAAAGCGTTTTCATACTAGTTAGTCACATTCTGTCAATAACAAATAAAAGGCGTTTTTCTGCATTTTGACCATCCCTGATGTTAGAAAAAAGTGCGAAAGTCTACATTTTCTCGAGAATTTGCAGCATGTCTATTTTCAAACGTGTTACTATAAATAGAAATAGAAACCTCTGCTTTACATTCTGTATTTCATTTATATGCTTTCTTTTACTTGTTTTTCACTGAATGCCAATAACAGTAAAAGCATATTGTCTGCAATTGCTCATCCAAGTAGTGAAAAAAGTACAAAAAAACTACATTTCCGATAGTTTACAGTATGTCTATTTTTAAACTCATGTTACTATAAATAGAAATGGAATCCTCTCCTTCTCATTCTGTATTTGATATAAGGTTTTCTTTTACTTGTTGGTTACCATATGCCAATAGCAGTTAAAAACAGACAGTCAGCAATTATTCATCCAAAATGTTAGAAAAAAGTACAAAAAATGACATTTCTCCGATAGTTTACAGTACATCTATTTTTAAACACAAGTTACTATCAATAGAAATGGAAACCTCTGCTTCTCATTCTGTATTTGATATAATGCTTTCTTTTACTTGTTGGTCTTTATATGCCAATAGCAGTTAAATACAGATAGTCAGCAATTATTCATCCAAAATGTTAGAAAAAAGTACAAAAAATGACATTTCTCCGATAGTTAACAGTACATCTATTTTTAAACACAAGTTACTATAAATAGAAATGGAAACCTCTGCTTCTCATTATGTATTTGATATAATGCTTTCTTTTACTTGTTGGTCTCTATATGCCAATAGCAGTTAAATACAGATAGTCAGCAATTATTCATCCAAAAATTTAGAAAAAAGTACAAAACATGACATTTTTCCGATATTTTGCATCACGTCTATTTTTAAAACATGTGTTACTATAAACAGAAATGGAAACCTCTGCTTCTCATTTTGTATTTCATATATGCTTTCTTTTACTTGTTGGTCACCAAATACCAATAGCAATTAAAACAGATAGTCAGCAATTATTCATCCAAAATTTTAGAAAAAAGTACAAAAAACGACATTTTCCCGATATTTTGCATTACGTCTATTTTTAAACGTGTTACTATAAATAGAAATGGAAACATATGCTAATTAGCAGTTAAAACATATAGTCTGCAATTGTTCATCCGAAATATGAGAAAAAAGTACAAAAAACTACATTTTTCTGATATTTTGCAGTACGTCCATTTTCAAACATGTGTTACTATAAATAGAAATGGAAACCTCTGCTTCTCATTCTATATTTGATATAAGGCTTTCTTTTACTTATTGGTTACCAAATGCCAATAGCAATTAAAAACAGATAGTCAGCAATTATTTATCCAAAATTTTAGAAAAAAGTACAAAAAACGACATTTCCCGATATTTTGCATTACGTCTATTTTTAAACTTGTGTTACTATAAATAGAAATGGAAACATCTGCTTATCATGCTGCATTCCATTGAATGTTCTTTTGTTCTTGTCAGTCACATAATATCAGTTACAATTAATGACAGTAAGTCGGTAAATTCCCCATCTCTAATTTGAGAATTAGTGGAAAATCAACATTAAACAGTTAATTTCATATGTGTCTATTTTTATACATTTGTACTATTTATAGAGATGAGAGTCTGTCCTCAATAATTTGTGAGATATTATACTATTCCTTGTTCTTATTGATGAAATATTGGAGAGATCCATATTTTTATTATTTATGAGTCAGTGGAGCTTCAAAATGAAGAAAAATTGTCATTTTTCATCATTTTATGAGACCTGTCTATATTTAGGCATTTGAATCTATAAATAGAAAACGGAAATCCCTAAAAATAATACGCATGGTAGTTATTGGTGTCCAGTCTCTGACATTAGCACATTGACTTTTACAGTATATTTCATAATTACCTAGCAATGGCATCTTAAACTCTGCCCAAATTTCATTTTTTGGATTTTTCTGAAATATGTCTATTTTTAGATACATGTTACTAAAAATAGCATTGAGATCCCACTCCAATTTTTTCATGAGGGGACACTACTAATACTGAAGTTTGACGACACGCATATGATTTGAAAAATTTCCGTAGACAATTTTTTTTATTTTACCTTAAATTTCTCAAAAAATGCCAAATTTTTCCATTTTTCACATTTTGAGAAACTATGCTATTCTGCTGAACGGTTTTCTAAGAGTGGGGTCAATTCTGGAAAAACTGGTTATATGCCCTGTATTCTTTAACAGTCGATGTTTTCTTATGATACAAAGATTTATATTTGAGTTCACTACATGAAGATAAAAATGCATTCATATTTCCTCAATTTTCATGTTTTTGTTTGGTCGAAAATGGCCAAATTCAATGGATCCGTCTCCATGGCAACCGGGTGCACGTGGGAAACTTTTAACACCATATTTGCTGGTTTTGTACCAAGGTGCACCTGTGGTGCAAATTTCATCAAAATCGGAGACATGTCGTTTCCAAGCCCTATAGTAAATATTTTGGTGCTTACAGAGAATGCATGTTAACAGTTTAAAATATGACACTTGGAAATTGAAAGGTTGTTAATTTAGTAGGAATGATAAGACCAGTTTAGTAATCAACTAAAATTAAAATCTTTCACAAATACATGTAGTTTATTTTAAAATTGTTTACATTTATAATCTTTTAATTTTTTTCTGTATTTTGATTTTAAAAAGGAGAAAAAATTGTTATATTTAAATTATTATTTCATGGATATCAAGGAGATATACCTATCACTGTAACATTGTTTCTTTTTCCCTGTTCTTGACAAATATTTATGACAGTGTTATGCCATTTTGCAGAATTTGCCTTTTCTCTGAAATCAGAAGTACTCTGTAAACTCATTAAAGTATGAATTGATGTCACTTAGAATTCATCTTTATTTTGTTCTGTCTGATATTTCAATTTAGATTCTCAGACTACCTAATCCAATGATTGAGCTAATGTCCATGAAGTGTAGAAATAGGCCATCTTTAAGATATGTTTGGTTGTCGGCCTCTCCAGACCGACTGACTGAAATGACCAGACTGAAATTTTTTTTTCAATGCAGGGCCGTATTTTTTCTTTTTATTCCTCTTATTCCCCGTAAAGAAGATTTTCTCACCTACCACCCAATAATTTTACCCAGAGTCAAGAGAGGGCAAACAAACATTACTTTCAAGATAGCATTTCTACTCTTCGAAGTAAAGAAATCATTTAATTATAAAAACAGCAGCTTCGTGGATGCCTGCTTACAACATTTCACTCAAAAGATGGCATACATGTATAATGATAGTCACGAGACATAACTGAATAGAGATATTTTGCTACGAAGATGTCTAGAAATTACTACATGTTGGAATAACTAAATCAGCATGAGGTCAAATTCAGAGGCTTTTAATTGGGTTAGTTGCAACATGTTCTGAAGTATGTTTATAAACATATACGTGCACTTCTAAAGGTGTTGCAGTATAATTCATGGACAATTTCATCAGAATATTCAGATGTAAAGATTGCCATAAATACTAGATTTCTTCCATGGAATAAATTTTTAGACCATCTTGTAGCACAGGAGGAGTTTTATTTTGAATATTTTTGGCCAAGTTTTGCTTAAAAACAATAACAAAAATACATTTAGTCTTTAACATTCACCATGACAAGGTGATATCAATGTTGTCTTTATAAGTGTAGAAAAAGCCTGATTTTTGTGTTCCAAACCCATAATATAGCCCCTGTTTCCATGGAAATAATATTGGGGACATACACATTTTTTTGGTTCAAATTATTTAAAATGATCAAATTAATAACTTCATGGAATTTGATGGAATCGGTAGATATGTAAAACGTTGATTTTTATATTTTTGTTGCCATGGCAACGGTTTCACTTTATCAAGGAAAATTGAAAAAATCTTCTTTTTTACCTAAATTTTCACATTTTTGATAACGGAAAATTAATAGTTTAAATAATAGAAGCATGAATTATACTAATTCAGGTCATTTTAATTATAAAAGTTTGATAATTAATAAAATAAATCAATTTTTTCAATGAAAATAATATTCGAGGTGAAATATGAAATACGTTAAATTTGGCGTCTTTTACTAAAAAAAATGGGACGGGCAATATCTTTGAAAATCATATTAAATGATGAAGCTAATCTCCCTGAATAAATTGATATATGGCATGTGTGCATATTAAAAAAAAAAAATAAAAGTTGGAGGGAGACGCAAACCTTACCTTAAATACAAATTCATTCAACTCTTCATTCTACTTTAAAAACACTGAAAAGTAATACATATCATTTACCTTTTTATGCATTTAATCACTTGCATTTCCAAATATATCCTTTCTAACTTTAGAAAACTGGCGCGCTCCACCCTGGTCCTCATTCCCCTGTTCGGTGTGTACTATATGATATCTGTTGTCATGCCAGAATGTATGGACCCCAGTGTAGAACTCATCTGGCTGTATGTGGAGAGTGGTGTCAACTCATTTCAGGTTAGTATCGGTGATCACTTCCGTAGTGTACAGCATTTTTCTGGATCATAGAACTAATTTCAGTTACTGTACAAGGAACGCTTTTAGATTTTCTAAATACTTTTTGAAATAATACACCTCGATATTGAATTTTTAGGATTTAAATTAAATACCTGTCTTGTATGTCTGTATAGAATGATGATCATAAACATGCTTTTATATATCACTATATTTTCTACAGGGCTTTCTCGTGGTGTTACTTTTCTGTTTTCTTAATGGAGAGGTAAGGAACCTTAGATAGCTACTACAAATAAATAAATCCAAATTTAAACAAACAATCTTGAACCATTTTTGTGATAATCTGCACTGTCTTTGTTATGAATTAATGTCAATGTATACCGGTATTTTCATGTAGAATGTTCTGGAAATACAAGTATAAACCTAAACTAGTCATAATATTTTGATATATCGTGATGTTCCCGTATATATATCTAAGATGCCTTTTTCACACTGATTTAAGGTGTTTTGTACTACCTTCAGGTTCAACATGAAATCCATAAGAAATGGGACAGGAAATGGAGGTTACGCCGGTTTAGCGCCGCCTCCTCCCGCTCCACTAGAACTCTCTCTATAGGATCTACCGTGTTATTTAAAGACAAGCATCTCCCAGCTATACTGTTCCGAGGGGACATTCCTAGAGAGAAAAGAAACAGTGTTAAACAAAGTTTAGAGTTAAAGAACTTGTGTAAAAAACCTGATTGTGATCTCAAAGAAAACAAAGATGAGGAACATGAATGTATCAAATTATTGGAGTCCCCAACATAAGAAATGATGGATTATTTTTGTTTTAATATGTTATTTTAGTTCTTCCTATGGAGGGACCTTAAATGAGGATTTGAATATTTTTTTATCACAAAAGGGAAACAAAAACTGTAGGATTTTTTAACTGAAACTTTTCCAAATATAGTTTTAAAGAATTAAAATGTTAAAGAGAGATTGTCTTCGATTTAACCATTTGTCACATTTTTTTCTTTTCACGTTGTTTTCACAATTTCAACAGGTTTAAATTATATATGTCTTACTATAAGTATTAAGTCTCTGAAACGGGGCATACATGTAGAACAGCAAACGTTGAATGAAACTTATCTTTTTAACATATTCAAAGAAGGAGAAAAATTTGAAACTTATTGAAGATATGTTTCAAGAAGACTTTTTCCAGTATTGAATTATAAAGTAATAAAATAATAAAAATTTACATATTTTACTTGCATATATCAAAATAGTGATAAAAATTCCTAGTAAAATGTTCCAGACTTGTTTAGAGGTTTCAAATGTTTTATTAAGTAAACTTGCATTTAAAGTTTCAAAATCTTAGACTTTTTAAATCTTATGAATTTGGAACAGGATTGGCTACTTGTTTTATTTTTCTTTCTTTAAATTTAATTTTTTATAATGAATGTAGAACAAACGAAGTTTGCAATTGAGTTCAGAATTGTGTTCTGAAATGAAAGGGATTGAAAAAACTTAATATATAAAAAAAAAACCAAAACAATAAGGCCTAAGATAAGAGACATTTGAAAGTCATAATGAATATGGCTGTACAGACAAAATTAAAGTCGTGTATTAAATTTTGTTTATGATTTCGTCCGACTGATCGTTCTTAACTCTAATTACGAAAGGGTTGTCTTATCAAAGCTTAACAACAACCTAATATTTTTTAATGGCTGACAAAAGCCTAGTAAATGGTAACACAGATTGATGATAAAGGTATAAACCTTTCATGATTCTGATTCTGACCAATTGTTTATCAGCTAGAAAGTACTTATTTTTGCTATATTCCCACTTATTATCGGTATATCATGTACACTGGTTTGCCAAAATTGAATGAATCAAAATTGAAAGTTTCCCTACCGTCAACGAACGTACATGGATTGCATAATTTGAGCTATAAAAACTTTTTAGAATATCAATTGTTCACTTTATTATTAAGCAAACACTGACGTACATTACTTGATTCAAATCTAAATTGTTTTGAGATTTATGGAATTCTAAACCAGATCTCTAACAGTGACATTACAAGCCTAACAGTATTGTCAACGCAGATTTCACCGTCTTGATGTTCAACTTTATTCAAATCTCCGCTTGTATGAAATGTTTAAGGTAAAACATTCAGGTTATGACCATCTCATGTAAAGTAGTCAACTGACGATTAACTGACTGTTTTTCTTACACTCAACTAGATATTTTTGTATGTGTACTAGACAAAAACAAAATAATAATAAAAAAATGATATCAATTTAAAATAATAATTGGTCACAATTTATACTTATCAATTTAAATTTGAAAAAAATCGAAAGTTTAAGAAGTGGCATTCAATGAATTAATTGTTTAAATTTTATCATATTTGAAATTACCATGTCCATTGAAGTAAAGATTGTTTAATAAAAATAAAAGGGGTATGAGGGGAAATTTATAGCCCAATGTATATTTAAACATATTAAGCTGAAAACCCAAGTCTACGCAGATTCCCTATTTGTGTTAAAGCATTAAACTACCTGCAATTGAAAGACATAAGTACATACGTAAACAAAGTCAGGTTAATTGAATTAAAAAAATGCTTTTGACTTTATTTTAACAAACTGTAAGGACACCTCTCAATTAAAAAAGATATTGGGGAAATTAAATATTGAGTATACATCCTCTAACATGACAAATCATACAAGCCTATCAGTAACGAGATGCTCCTAAGCAAAAGAAATGACGGCTTAGTTCTGCATATCTTCAGAAGAAACCTTGCAAAATTGCACCATGGAGTTAATCAGTTTGGTTTAGGCAGCATGCTTATTTAACCTTTGCCAACACCCCAAATCCTCAACATCTTGCGGTAAATTAATGAACACCATTGTTTTTGTTTAGAAGAAATGTCATGACGGATTTATTATCTGCTGTTCTTTAACTGATAAATCCCATAAATACTTATATATTCCTCATTTCAAGCGATTACCTAATATCACTATATGGCTCCCAATCTTAGTGTGAGCAATGCTAGTAATTTGCGAATTGAAGATTGATTATGAAATTTTATACCTAAAAATAAATAGAAGTAATTGAATTGTATTGTATTTATTATTGAATTGAATTGTACTTCTCACTAAAAAAACGCAACTTAAGACTCCTTACTTTTAATTTAGAAATTCAAAGTATCAAAATATTAATGGAAGAAAGTGATATGATAGCTTTATGTAACAAATGATCATGTCCTTATATCAGATATCACACTCTGTCTAATTTTTTATTTAAGAAAAAAAAAACACTGAAAGAATTGGAGAAAATGAACAACATTCTAAACCTCCATAAAACAATACAAAATAAGAGCACAGCAAACACGGACCCCCGAAACATCAGAAATGGGATCATGTGCCATGGAGGAGTGAGCATCCCCTGCCGACCTGTCACACCCGCCGTGTGCTCCTTGTCATGATCAGGAAGTAACGGGAAATATCCGTCGTCAATTCAGTGTATAAATGATGGACTAACAATTGGTATGAAAAACGTCAGTCAGACTTTGACTCAATGATAAGCTTTATGAAGAAGGATATGGAGATAACGAACAGTATTTAAACTCAAAGTCCATAAAACAATACAAGACAGGAGCTGAGCAAACACGGTCTTCCGAAACATCAGATGTGGGATCAGGTGCTATGGAGGAGTGAGCATCCCCTGCCGACCGGTCATACCCGCCGTGTGCTCCTTGTCATGATCTGAAAAAAAAAACAAAAAAATCCGTCGTCAATTCAGTGTATAAATAATGAACTAACAATTATTATGAAAGAAGTCAGTCAGCATTTAACTCAGTGATAATATGATAAATTGTATTTACTGGCAAGGTAATGGTATCGAAGATAGAACTTAGGAAATGATGACTCTAATCTAATATTCTGTTCCATCAACTTGTTTGTCAATAATATGTATACCTCGTTTTAGAAATTGTTCATACGTAGAACATGCTCTTGTGAATCGAATCAACTTAGATATGTAAACTCCATATTCATGTGATTAAGGTCTATTGCTGCAAAGGTAAGGGAAGTTGTCGATAGAAAAGTTAAAGTCATCACCTTTATCATAGAGCTTGGTTGTTAGATTACCATAGAGCTTGATTATCATAGATTAACATTTATTATCATAGAACTTGGTTGTTATAAGTAGCGCTCTTATCCCAGATAGCAGGATGTTATTGGACCTTTGTTGGGCCAACAACGCTACTTATGTTGGGCCACTGTTTGAATTCAACATTGGGCCATCGATAATTTGCTTATCCGCCCTTAATCAAACCAACTTGTTGGCTTATTGTTGGGCCAATGTAACATTTAATATTGGGCCACTGTTGGGGGCCACTGTTGGGCCAATGTATTATTTTAATATTGGGCAAACGTCATTTTTGTACAATTGGGCCATTGTAAGCAACTAATGTTGGGCCAACGGTAATTTGCTCATCGGCCCTTAATCAACCAACTTATTGGCTCATTGTTGGACCAATGTAACAGTCAATATTGGGCCACTGTTGGGCCAATGTATTTTTTCAATGTTGGGCAAACGTCAATTTTGTACAGTTGGGCCATTGTAAGCAATTAATGTTGGGCCATCGGTATTTTGCTCATCGGCCCTTAATCAGACCAACTTGTTGGCTTATTGTTTGACCAACGAACAGATATCATTGAGCCATTGTTTGGCCACTTATTCTTTCAATATTAGGAAAACATCATTTTTGGGCCAACTTTGGTTTGTATCTTATTGGCTCTCCATCATGACAACTCATTTGCTCTTCACTGGTTGGCCATTTGTCCTCAAAATTGACAAACAAATATATACAATAAGGTTATACTAGTTTTGTAGTACAGTTTAATGGTCAAAGCCCTTTATAAATACTATCTATATATGCTATATATGCTAGATTAATTATTTTAATACATATTCTCAATATTCGCATAGAATTGCCATCAACAAGTATTGCATTGTAAGTAGCTCTAAATTAATTAAAAAACTGAGGAAAAAGAAATCAAAATATAAAATTTAATTTTAACATACTATAATTTTATTGCTCTGTGCATGAAGAAAACATTAATAAAGAATTAAAAGTTGATGCTCACTTTAAGCGATATATGTAGGGTTACATGACTGTATACTCCCTCTCTAATGTAAATTATGCACAAGTTCAGTAAATTACAGGTATCAATAAGTACGTCTAACAAATAAACAAAGCCCTCCTGTTCTTAAAATAATACTAAAATGAATCCCGTTATTTTGTTTACTTACACAAAAAAATGTTTCTGGCATCTGCATCGTGTTTATAACCGACAAACAGACACGAAAAAGGGTAGAACTACAGGTATATCACACTATATCACAGAAAAAAAGTTACGCATTGCCACTTTCCATCTGATCTCTCTCCTAAGTCTCCATTTCCTCTTCCAGAGTCTCCTCCTCCCCCTTCTTTTCTTCTCTTTCCGTTTCTTCCTCCCCCATCCCTGTCCTTGGCATACCTTAGCCATTCTTTGATTGTGTTCTCCATGTCTTTTTAGAATCTCCAGGAGCACTAGAATTGTAGTATTTGGTACTTTAAACATACGATTAAATTTACAAGTATATCACTATATGTTTAAGCTGTCAATTGAGGAATAACCGTCTTTTTTATTTCATGGTGTGATTAAGTGATTAGCTTGTGTGATGAAGGCATTTATGCATAATTTATACTCTTGATAATCATCATCAAAACAAATTTGATTCAATGTTGCCCCATATAAAATACATGTATTGAAAATTTGTCGTTACACTGAACAAATTTTAATTGAAAGAACCCAATTTATTTTTAGTACTGAATAAATTTTGTTTTAACTTCAGCAAATTCAACATTTTCAAAATGTTTGATCATGTTCTCGACGTTAAGTGTATATAAGTAAATTAAGTGGTAGACTTCGGAAATGTATTCTACTAGACACAAATTTCAATTTAAATAAGGAGCAAATTATTAATTGTTTTAACTGTATCAAAACACATTTTTATACTTTCATTTATTTTTCTTGTATATAAACAAAAAATTTAATCACTGATAATTTATGTTGTTTCGATAAATTATAAGAATTTTAAATTTATTTCAGCTAGCTTGATTTTTCAAGTAGGATTGGTTGTAGATTTACTTCTGATTGTAGATTTGTTAATATACAGATTTGTAACAATTAAATGTTTATACACATTGGCCCAATGTTGGTCCAATATATTGGGCCAACATTGGGCCAAGGAGCAAAATGACACTGGGCCAACGGCGTTTGCCAACGTCGGCCCAATATTCTTGTTGACGTTTCTCCAACAATGTCGCATTAATTGGGCCAATGTTGGCGCGACGTTGGGCCAATATCTGTAGAAATAACACTCTACATTGGGCCAACGTTTGCCCAACATATCGGGCCAACATTTGGTCGATGAGCAAACTTAAATTGGGTCAATGCCATTTGCCAACATTGGCTCGATGTAACCGATTACATTGGCCCAACTTTGGCCCAATGTTAGCATGCTATCTTTACAGTGTTGACCCAACAGCACCTGACCTCTGCACTTCCCCATGTCTGATTTACACAGATCTGTACATGATATCGTTTAAAAACTAAACGTTAATTCAGCTGTGCCGAGGCAAACATATTAGTAATACTTACAAAGTGAGTGCGGATATGCAAGGTATCAGTCTCATTACGCTCGTTTCAGATTAAAAATGGCGCGGATATTACAAGTAGCTCGGTTGTTGTCTACCCATGATGCTCAGTCTTTTTCATGGTATATTGGGCCAACGTAGGACCGATGCCAATCCCCAAACAAATATTTTCTCTCATGATAATAATTTTATGATATAATGCCAACAGTAAGCCCAACATTAGCGCACTATTATACATAACCAGCTATCAATATTTCTTGTTGGGCCATTGTTGGCCCAATCAAGGTAACTCAACATAGATAATAGAACCATATGTAAGATCTGGCCAACGGTCTTCTGCTATCTGGGTTATTACAAATAAATAAGCAAATACACAATTCAAAAAATAGAATAAAACACTCTTTGGTGCTTGATCACTTAAGTGCAAAGTTAAAATGTTGAAAATATCATATCTAAACAAAAGCAGTCATCCAATGATAAGCATGGACATAGAAAGTCCTTTTAATTATTTCAGAATGTACCAACGTTGTCCCAACGTAAAGCTCAGCAGCTAATTATAAAATTGACACCATCAATTAGTTGGCAGTATAATAATTGGGCCAACGTTGGCCCAATATAAATATCTCATCTTTATAGACCTAAACAAAATAACACTTGTGTGTACTACAAACATTGGGCCAATGTTGGGCCAACATACTACTACCAACTTGATAGGACACGTTCTTTAAGAGTGTATTACAAACAATGGGCCAACGTTGGGCCAACATAATACTACCAACTTGATAAGGCACTTTCTTTAAGGATGTATTACAAACATTGTGCCAACGTTGGGCCAACATACTACTACAAACTTGAAAAGGCACTTTCTTTAAGGGTGTATTACAAACAATGGGCCAACATTCTACTACCAACTTGTAAATACACTTTCTTTAAGGGTGTATTATAAACATTGGTCCAACGTTGGGCCAATGCCATGATCCTTCCTTCTTTGGAAACTAAAGTGAATGGAAGCTGCTTACGTTGGACCAACTGTGGGCCAACATAGGAATTCCGTCATGGTCGAGAAGGTTGACTTGGTAACATTGGTCCAACGTTGACCCAACGTTGTTCCCCCAACGCCAACCATACAACCTTTAACAAATGTTGGCCCAACATAGTCATGCTATCTGAGATTTTATTGTACGAAAATTAAAAACTAATGACTTTTCGGTCAAAAGACTAGAGTTAGACTTTCAAAAAAGGATAAAGACATTGATTGATTTATTGTATATTGTGATATTCCCAGTCGAGAATTTTTCACTATAAAGTAGAGTGATCGATTAGGAAAATATCTATTCACACAATTTTAATCTACGAACATAGCACACATACGGACCTCCCTAGACTTCAGGGTTGAATGAGGCGTCTCAGTGGAGTAAGCACTTCTGTAAAGGAAAAGAGAAAAATAGTAAACTTTGATTTCACCTTCCAAGTACCCCATACACATTACAAGATATCAATTAAAGGTATGCTGTCTCCCTAAGCAATGTATCTCTCAAAGACATCAAGGAGAAGCTAAATAACTTAACATCTAATGATATCCTTTACATTAAATCTTGGTGCAAGCAAAATTCATGCTTGCTTGATTAAATTAAACACACCTTTAAAAAGGTTGTGATGTTCTGGTCTTAATGGTAAGAACTTTTAAAGTTGTATCGAATCTAATGTTCTTGGCTACCCAGTTAATCAAACATTTCTTTTCAAACGTAGTTGAATTGGAATTCTATAATGTACATAGTAGAATACTCCAGATTAGAATAATATGCTGTTTTGATGTTTCATTTAAAATGCAGATACTCTGTAGTAAATTTCATTTCATGTTCTTTGTTTCTCGTCTTACAAAATACCCAAACCCCTTTATCATCAGCTTCAGTCAGTGGCTTAATTTGTACTCTAAGAAATTGATATTCTTCGATTAGAATGATTAATGGATATGCCATTAAATAATTCCTTTTTGAAGACATCATCAAAATCCTAGCAGGAATGAAAAACAGCTTTATGGAATTATCTATTGTTGTAATACAACTTCATTCAACTATGGCTTCAGCACCTAAATATAATTCTGTGGTACGATTTGATTTACAAAAGCTGCTTTACTAGAAAGAATTGATTCATAAGTAATAAATGTATGGAGATAACGAGCAGTATTCAAGATCAAAAGTCCATAAGCAAAATAGGAGCCGAGCAAACATGGATCTCAAAAACATCAGAGGTGGGATCAGGTGCCATAAAGGTGTCAAATGTAGATCTTAATATCTCATGTCTTCAGATCTCTATGTGTCTTTTCAAGTTACTTGAAGTCCTTATAATATAGATAACTTTCTGCATCAAACTTATGCAAATTTTGTGCACTCGTGGTATTAATTCGTGCAATAAACGCGGTCCACGGATATTTGTCGAAGATTACTAGAAATCATGCGATGTGTATCGTAACAATCTATATGACATGAGTAAGTTTCCAATCGCATCATTATTTTACAGAAATTATGATTCCGTGGAATAATGACCAAATGGAAAAACGAACATTTACTGTACCTTGACGCAACAGTCTTATGACAAAAGATTTTTACTTTGTATTCACTTATTAAATTTTTACGTTTGTTTTATTTCACGTATTTCTTTTTTTTTCAGGTTATGATAGTATTCGTACTTTTTAAAGAATAAATCAACAGTGCATGCAAATGATGAAATTAATATTCTCTAAACCTGTATATTTCCCCAAAACCACGATTAGATATCGCTAAAAATACAATGTGCGCTAGTTTTAAACAAATGCAACAAACGT